TTTGGGAAATCCTCTCGAGTTTTTCAGCGATCTCCTCAAAAGTGCACTCACCATATGATCCTCTAGTAATAGTATCTAATACAACTCTTCCATTGTCATCTTGTCCTCTATAGAAGTACTTCTTCAATAACTCATCATCTATGCGGTGATTCAGAATACTCCTCATGAACCCAGTGAACCTATCCCAAGAACTGCTTACCGATTCTCCAGGTAATGTTGTGAAGTTATTCAGTTTATCCTTATGATTTAATTTCTTGGACACCGGAAAATACCTTGCTATGAACACCTTATATAATTGGTCCCATGTATAGATCAAATTATATGGCAGCTTAGAAAACTACACAGCAGCATCATCGGTCAGCGATAGTGGAAATACTCTCAAGCCTATGACATCCATATCCAACTCTGGTTGTCCTACACAACTCTTACAGATACTGGACAATTTAGTCATATGAGCGTATGGATATTCCAAAGCCAACCCAGCAAACAACCCTCTCGCTGTGCCTGTATAAGGTTGTTGGGTACCACAAATGTATGTTTTGTAGGTAGAGGAGGGAGAACAATAGGTCCATCTGATCCAACCGCATCATAGTCAACCCTGCAGTGATCACGAAACCTCGGTGCTGGCGGATTTTGCACCCTTTCTGCATCTCCTATTATATGACCACCTTGAATCAGAGCAGGCACATTAACAACTCCAGGAGGTTGAAACTCAGCTCCATCTCCTTGACCCTCTCCGATTGGATTATTGTGTACCCGTTGATTTTTCATTTTCCTCAAAAAAACTCTCAATTTAGGATCGTAGGGGGTCAAGTGTTCACCTCGACTCCGTGTACTTGGCATACACTAGAGTTGAAACCTGTAGAAAATAAAAACATAAAATCAGGAAATACTTGACTAACGTTCAACAATATAGTTAGTTTAATCTATAAGTTGTATTCCATTGAAACGACGCCAAAAATTTGATATGCCCAAATTACACCTCCCTAAAGAAGTATTAGGGGTCGTTGCCAAATAAAGAACCCAACTTGTAGGTTGGGGTCGATCCCATGAGGAATATGGTTCAGACTTAAACTTAACTCACAATTATCTCCGTTTAGTCAAACTATTTCCGAGAAAAGTAAACAGGGTGAATGTTGTAAATAAGTCATAGATTGTTAATTTGAATGATTAAGTAACAAGTAAACAAGATTCACAATTTGAGTTGTCATTATAAGATGGAAACTAGGGTATATGTGTTCTCCACAAGCTCTTAACGCAATAATCCTAATAATAGTAATCTTATCCTAGTGTTTGACATGCAAGGCCGAAAAGTTATGTATTCCTACGTGTTTGGTAATCTTAGCAGGAACTTTCATTCGTGACTTGGTAAATCTACGAGTGTGTGCTTTACTAACCCTTACCTTCACCCCAGATTAGTCATCGTGTCAATTTAGTTTAGTTTTCACCTTCACTTCGATTTATTAAAGTCGGACTAGTAGATAGCAGCAAATCCTTAACTAAATCTATGTTGTTTAATCCTTTTCTCATTCATTCCCCCCTTGGTAAGGCAAGTAGGAACGAGGCGAGTTCTAACGTTGGCCACCGTTAAAAAGCATTCTAAACGAAAGGATTAACAATACATCTATTCAAGAATTACTTTAATTATTATTCATACTTTGTTAATTGTTTATGATTTCCACAACCCTAGTTGTGGATTTAGCTACTCATGCTTGAGAATTCACAATTCATAATTAGGTTAAAAGAAATCATGAACTTACAATTAGAATTGATGAAAACTGAAATCTTAAATTAAAATTCAAAGTCAAATTGCATAAACCGACTTCTGGAAATTAAATTGCTCAATGTTTGCAAAATAATTCCAAAAGACCAAAAGCAAAAGTCTACAATAATGTCTAACCCCCAAAAATGAAAATTACAACTAATATTTATAGAAAACAAATCCTAAACCAACTAGGAAACAAAATAAGGAAATAACAGCTCAGACGCAGTTTCAATCAACGACACGACCTGCAGACCATGGGTCAACCTACAGTCTGTGGTCTCCCTCTATGCATCAACACTTGGGCAATATTTCAGGGCCTTCAGACAATAGTTCCACCTACAGTCCGTGGATTGTACTATGGTCCGTCCTGTCACTCTATGGTTTGAGTAGTGAAAATTAGCTCTTTGACCACGACCTACGATCGTCCACCTACAGCCCGTCAAAGGACCTACGGTATGTGGTTGGCTCCGTAAGTGGCTTCTTCTGCACTTTTCAGCTCTTCTCTCAATCAAACTGCCTCCAAGCCTATTTCCTGCAAGAATTACACAAAAATATTATTTCTAATAACAAACTAGCCCAAGACACACACAAACTCTAAGTGAAATGCATCAAAAATGCCATAAACGTACGGTATATCAAAATCCTTTAGATTTCGAGGCTGAACTTGAAGGAGAGCTCTGCATATTCTTGAGAGAAACATGTCGCCTCTTTCTTTTCTTTTCTTTCTATGTCTGATGATTTTTAGGAGAATGAATGTTTTAGGTAGTTTCTGACTAATTAACTAGGCTTAAACAAAGTAAAACGACGTAGTTTAAGTACCAAACACATAGGGGAAAAGACCAACACGACCCTCACTTAAAACAGACGAGGTTATTATCAAGATGGGCTTCACCAGTCGTTTAAGGCATCATGGCCCTTCTAGTGTGTTGTGATGTTCCCCTACCCAACAGGGCTTCATTAAAACGAGCACAACTTTTTACTCTGGGCTTGAAATTAGGCAAACTTGGTGGCATTGGAAAGAGGACTCAAAGACCTTTAATTTTTAGATCATGGGTCATATAATTCATTTTGTGCTAAAAAATATGATCGTTTGAATTTGACCCAAAACTCAAAACATGATAAGTCCCTTTCACAGACAACTTCACGGGCCATGTGAAGCTTCATGGACCGTCTAGGCATCCGTGGTCCTTCATAGTGACCGTAGGGTGCAACCTCACTGTCTAGGTGACTTGTACGAACCGTCCAAGTAACCACGGGCCGTCTAAGGAACCGTCTAGGTAACTCATGCCTAAGGGTAATCCTGAATGGTCTCACTATGCCCTTAATGGGTTGTGGACCCCTAAACGGCCCATCTAGGGTTCCGTGAAGGGCCCATTGTTCATTTTTGGTTTGTGCACTTTCCCGTTTGTGCTTTCTAGCCCTTTCTCGATGTCCGAGGTGTTACATATAACCTTTAATGTTTCTATATTATATGTGATCATAATTTTCTGGAAAAGTTGTTTTATTATTTCTTAGAGCATTTTCCACCACAAAAGATTTAACCTTTTCACACCTATCTTTATACCATGAATGAAAGTCAATAAAATTACCTTCATTCAATGATGATTCACTTTCATCATGATCGTAGAGTAACAACCATGATTCAAGACAAGTCTTACCACATCTATTGAAGCATTTAAGTGTGTCCAATATTCATGCTTAATTTGATCAGATTGTTTGTCAAATGCAACACAAATGGATTGTTGTTGTATTTAATCATCACAATATCTTTTCTCTTGATTATGAATGCTATTCTACCCACCAATATGTTGGTTAAGATTATCTTTTATATGTTAATTCCTAAATGTTATTCTTCAAAATACATTAACAAGGCAAGCAATATACCGCATCTACATTCTCATTATACTCCTACTAATCATATTCTTCAAACCATTTAGAATTATGACGCATTGTTTCAAAAATATAGATTGAGGAAATTCATGAACCTTAGGTCGATAAGGACCAATTTGAAGATATACCCTTCTTATTTCAGCATATCATGATTTTAAAATTAGAGTTCTTTTGGCTTAGATCAAGTTCTAGAGCATTTAAATCAAGTTTTTGTTTCTTATAAGAACGTGATAGTATCTCTTATTAGTCTCCTGTTTCTTTTATAATAGGTTGACTTAGAGACGTCGAACTTATTTTTGGTACACTACTAAAATAATTCATCAAGTCCATGGAACTTCAAGCTAAAATATTTACAAAACTATATTTGTTTTGTCGTAAAATAAGAGAAAAGGAAGGAAAGTGGAGAGAATTATTGAGATTTTTATACTCAACAATATGGTCATATAATATGGGTAAAAGGAATAAAATAGGAAAACGCTAATCCACAAGGAAAAGGGTATTAAAATTGAAGTAAAGAAATCAATCTCTTTAAATTTGACCAAAAAAGGTCCTTTATTAGACCTAATCATAAAAGGAATGAAAACAAATATGTTATTTTTAATTAAAATAATTTTTTTAAAACGAAATAGAGTTTAGTTTAAAGCAAAAATAGGCAAATCCCAGAAATGAGGACATGGGGAGTCAAACGATTGACCCTGAGCTGCTGCTCTCTCCACGTCAACAGTCTTTTTTTTTTTTTTTTTTTTATAGTTTTAAGGCAATGCTACAAAATTAAAAACAAAATGTGGACTCGAGGAATCAAACCTAAGAGTTGTGTATGCTTTGTGCACACCCTTGCCACTAATATTATTTCTAAGGGTATTCAAAATGTTATTGTAAGATTTGACCTATATATAATGTGAAAATGATTCAAGTGTGTTTTTTTCCATTTAGTGAAAGGAAATGGGAGATTTAGTCTATATAGCCTTTAACAAACTTATTTTTTAACTTTATATCAGATCTTTATTCTTACACATAAAGAGGCCTGAAAAGGTCATCTTTTTCTGTTCAATTTGTAAGTGGATATACAAATAAATCATGAAATGCTACAACGACAATACCTGCCAAACAATAGATGAAACATGTTAATGAAAGACTTCCTAGACATCATTACCAATGACATATCGAGTTACATCAATCAAAGCCTAATGCTAATGTGAGGAAGATGCAAGGGAAGAAATAGAACCAATTACCAATGCGATAGACTTCACAACCTATCTTCAATTCGTGAATCTCATATTGGACATCTTCAACAAGGTTTACTTGAAAGATTAAAATTTCATTGCCAGAATATGGCAACTTAAACGATTATCTTTACAAGACTAAACACAAGGTTTATCATTTGTATTATCTTGGAAAAGAATACTACCATTCGGTTACTGTACAGAGCTCACTACCATACACAAACCTGCTGAATTGAGTGAAAAAAACTACATCTCCAGATAAAAAATGGAGAATGGACGTTCCCAAAGTGCTCATTGTAAAACAACCAACTTCAGACATGCTGGGGACTACTTGCAGCACCGTCATCCTGCAAATGAAACTTCATAAATGAACTCGGAAATAATCTATGCTCAGATTTTAAATATTATGTAATTAGAATATTCTACGTAGCACCCAAGTAGACAATTTGGCAGCAATACCTCCACTGCCAATCTGAATTGAAACAGATCAATAAGGCAGCTAGCTACCTATTCTACTATTTTAACAGCGGAATGAAGTTCATCAGAAGCAGAAATAGTGTTAAATCAAAAGCATGCATCAAGTAGCACCATAGTTAAAGGAGCAATGTCAGGGTCAAGGTCACTCCGGGGCTAAAGATAGAAATAGGGAGAGAATTCAAAAGAAAGGAAAGGGGCGGCAAGTAGATATGAGAATTCTATTAGTTTGTTTCTATGATGGATTTCTTCGGAGTAATAGTAATTGATAGGGCCTTGTTGGTAAGTGCTACAAGATCATGTTATGCCTTCGAAATGAAAGATAATTCCAAGTCCGCTTTTTTCTACAAACAAGAAAGCTAAAACTTATGCATATATATATATATATATATATAAATTATTAAAAGTGGAAATTACAAAGTGCTTGGATTTCCATTTTACCCCTACATTAAATTAAAATCTAATTAACTATCTAAATACAACAACTACTACATACCCAGTGAATATATATATATATTACTAAAAGTTGGAAATTACGAAGTGCACGGTTGGATTACCATTTTACCTCTACACAATTAAAATCCAATTAACTATCTAAATACAACAACAACAACAACAACAACTACATATCTAGTGAAATCCCATAACTGAGGTCTAGGGAGAGTAGAATGTATGCAAACCTTACCACTACCTCGTGAAGGCAAAGAGGTTGTTTAATTAACTATCGAATTAATTAAAAGTCCTATTTTATTTATGTAAATGATGAATTAATTAGAAACCCCGCTATTGGTACTTTAATTATTTAATTATGGCATTATAAATTCTCTTATTTAATACTAATTATCGCAAACATTATTCACATCCTCTTGTGCTCTTTAGTTATATCATTATAAATTATTTAGTTATTATTAATTGTTTCTATCTTTCATCTTCCCTTATATTAACTTTTTCCAAATAAATCAATGTATATGGGGCATAAAATATTACACAAAATTAATTGCTTTAAATTAATACATCATTGTGTAACACTAACTTCCACAATTGCTACCATTTATCTTTTCATTTTCTTAACTTGGTACGACATTTCAAACAGTAACCTGTTTGTTAAATTAAATATAGGTTAATTTAAATTAATAAATATATACATGTTAAAAGGAATTCCAAAGAACATCAAGAAACACTATATCAAGGCAACAAACGGTTTCCATTTCCCTCAAGGTTGTTTTTTTAAAAAAATCTGGCCTTCCTATCCATTTTCCTTTTTTTTTTCCTCTACTTTCTTTTCCCTTAAAGAAAAATTTGTGGTAACTAAAAGGAAATAGAAGACGGAGAAGTATGTAGATGTCAGAATTGAATAATCACCAAACTCAACTTACCTTCAACTTTCACGGGATAACATAAGAGGACCAGTATCTCCATTAGTAACGCTAGCACAGGATTCATGAGCTATGGTTGGTTTCTTTGGAAAGTTGATTTTTTAAATTTTCATTAATTGATTCATTCTTGTAGTTTTTTGTAATCACAATTTTTATAGATGTAAAGATAGTACATAAGATAATGATGAGGAAGATGGTAGGTTAGTTCTTAGTTTCTCTATATTTTAAATGGGAAGATTGGCATAAAGTTCATTTATTTGTCAATTCATGCATTTAATGTATAACTAGTTTTTTTTTTTTTTTTATGACAAGGGAAACCCGTAGCCGCTACCTTTTGGATGCACACAAGGTAAAACCTCCGCTCCTATGCAATAGCTCGCAAACCACATAGGAGAGATAACCCGTACTAGGCAAACCCGATGCGACGAGCTCAACCCAGAAGGCAAACCCCTTGCTTTCGCTGGCAAGGGGTTTCGAATTTGAGACTCCAACATGGAAGTCCCAAGCCCAAACCAGTGGGCCACCCCGAAGGGTTAATATAGAAATGTGTCATTCTTTTTGGGACTGACTAAAAAAGAGAAGTAAGTCATAAATTGGGGCAGAGATAGTACTCAAATTTCTTCACATTATAGTTGAGTATTAGAATAATTAAACCACACATGAAGTTCGGGGGAAATTGTGGGATGGCACAAGAATTGATTCATCCTCCTTTCTCTAGTGGGTATCTATGTTCTTATTGAGTTTATATTTAGAATACTATACAGTCTTTTGCCTCAACAAGTTCTTGACATGTGTTGCACGTGAATGCCAAATGGTAACTATTTGATATAATAATATCAATATTATTGAAACAAAGCTTTGAATAAATAAATATATATGACAGAATGAAGCACAAATTTCTATGATTGATCAATGTGGATCCTCATATGGTAACTTGTTGTCGAGGTCAAAATGATTAGGTATCATCCAAAATTATGAAGTCATACATGTAAGGTAACGTTGTTGCTCGGACTCTTCAAAAATATTGACTGGTGCATGTCGGATAATCTAGAAAAATAGTGCATGTTTGAAAGATCCGACACAGGTGCAACAATTTTTTTGAAAAGTCCGAGCAACATAGATGAAACGTACCTAATACTTCCTTATAAATGTTATTCTTGGTGTATGTTAATTCTCTTATCCGTTACAACTGCACTGTGATAATCAGGATGGTTGCGGTGGGATCATGGTTTTTACAACTATCATGAATATTGTCAATTGAATAAGTCATTTTTCGAATCATTACTATGCATTTTTTATAGTCCCACTACTCCCTGACAGTGAATGAGGTTGATATACATATTGTTTGAACCTTATAATGACTTGGTCATTTATGTTAAGTATTTGATACATCTTAAGATACAAATTGCATAAAGAATACATAAAAGTATTCAATGTATTTTAGCATGTCTTATTCCTTACAATTTTGGTGACACTTACCATGAAACAATATTTGGTGGCAAGAATTTAGCATTAATGATCACTTGACCAATACACTGTACTTCTTCATTAAACTTATTCATTCATCAAAAACATTTTGTATAATGAAAGCTGTAAACCTAATTAATCCAATAGGAAAGGGAACACTCAATTGACAAATAAGCAGATGATTTGAATATTTATGCTAATCTGAAATTCACATCTGATATTAACCTTCAGATTTCTATCTCTGTTGTCAACAACAAGAGAAGTAATTGTGATTTTGTGGTAAGTTCACTGATAGGCCAATCTGTTGTTCAATCAATTCTTCAACCCAAACCTTTCATGCTATATGACATTTCAGGTTTTATTTTCAACTTCCTTATCCTTTCTTTGTGCTTATCGTCCAGCTATATGTAAGTGATCACCTATAATGAGAAGGAAATTGAGCAGTATACTTTAGTAGTACTTCAAGATTAATCAAGGTTTTATAATCTCTTTGTAATCCCACTTTCTCTAAATAGACAAGAACTCCATTGCTTACAACTTGTTGAGGCAAAAGAATGTATAGTATTCTAAATATAAACTCAATAAGAACATAGATACCCACTAGAGAAAGGAGAATGAATAAATTCTTGTGCCATCCCACAATTTCCCCCGAACTTCATGTGTGGTTTAATTATTCTAATACTCAACTATAATGGGAAGAAATTTGAGTACTATCTCTGCCCCAATTTATGACTTCCCTTTTTTAGTCAGTCCCAAAAAGAATGACACGTGATTAAGTAACAATTTAAATTTAAAATACCTATTTCACCCTATCACACAACCATCTATCACTTATTTTAGATCACAAGTTTCAAAAGTCATTCTTTCTTTCTTAACTCCATGTCCAGTCAAACTTACTCATATAAAATGGGACAGAAGGAGTATTATACTTCAGCAGTACTTCAAGATACAAGGTTGTATAATCTCTCTCTCAATTCTAAGAAAACTATGTCTACTTGTTGAGGAAAAAGAATGTATAGTATTCTAAATATAAACTCAATGAAAAAGATATAAAACCCCCTATTGAAAAAGGAGGATGACAAAGCGACCCATCGCACTGTTCTACCAAATTTTATGAGTGGTTTAATTATATATTAGTCCTCTATCCTTGCCATGTAACTCTCCATGCACAAAATCCTAAGGCTTGTTAACTCCAAGCTTCTTCATGAGCAAAGATTTAAAGTTCATCATCAGCAATTGGTTTCCTTCAGCTTTTTTGGTTTTTCATGGAATTTTGAACTTGCTAAGAATTGAAATTTCTCACTATTTTTTTTTTTTTGATTTGCACCGGGTGTCCGAGTCTCTTTGAGCCCCGACTAATCCCGGGGGTGCACAGGCCCTCGGCAAGGAGTTTCCCGCAAGTGCACCACGGTTAATTCAGGTTTTACCCAGTCCGATGGCCCTCAGAAATTGTTTGCACCCAGTGGGTTTCGAACTTGAGACCTTGAAAGGGAGCAAACCCCAAGGCTCAAGTCAATTGCCAGCAGGCCAACCCCTGAGGGTTAAATTTCTCACTATTTTGATGCTCAGAATATGTAGGTATCAGAATATTAACATACTAAAGGGGATCAACACTGCCTTTCTCTCATCTCGAGTAACCCAAAAGGGAAAGGCTTGTTGTTCCTCACAAGAAATCAGGCTTAGTAGTATATGCATGGAACAAGTACGGGGGACAAAATCTAAGATATTCTATCCTATCTTCTTCATTCTCTTCTTGGTCTGGACTATATTAGCGAAGCTATAAGAAGCGACATGTTTTTTTTCTTTAAAGTAGGATTTAGTTAAAGAATACTTAAAGTTGTCAACGTTATAAATTTGAAGGACAAGTTAAACTATTGAAAAGACACAACAAATAATTTTTTTCTTCCATTAATATTTTTAATAAATAGGGTATTTATTTATTTGGAAGGGCATTTAAGTAATTTAACTTTTCACTTTTGAGTTCAAGCTTTTAATCGAATATAGAAAATCTATACAACTTTCTTAAAATT